TTATTTTATTTGCTACCTATTGATTTTTATTTCTTGTAATTGGAAGTGAAAAGTAAAAAACATTGCCGTCAGATTTATGCCCTATACATTAGTCCCTCAATACTTCATGGTTCGACTTTTGCGGACTCACTCTTTCGCTGGTTTTCAACATAAGATTGTACACAACACACAATTGGCTGATTGATGGAGTGGATATAAGACATACACCCCCCCCCCCCCCCCCCCCCGCCGCCCTCTCCTTTCTCTTTCTGAGGCTGTCTGTCACAGCAGAAGCGATGGGGAAAGACAGCCCCCCCACTCCTTTCTCTTCCTCTGTTGCGACAGCCTCAGAAAGAGAAAGGAGGGGGCAGGGGGTGGGGTCTGTCTTTCCCCATCCATCGCTACTGCTCAGGGAGCAGGTATTTAAAATCAGTTTCTGATGGCACAAGTTTCAGCCCATAAGCAGGGATGAACAGACCAGATGAACAAATGTAAAACATCAGAGAAAATGCTAAGGTTGAAAAAAAAAAAGAGTGAATCAGTTTTAAAAAAGAGAGCGTGGCTGAGTGTGGCTAACTCGGGTATAAGACAGACACCCCCCCCCCCTTTCTTTTTCCGAGACTGTCTGTCACAGCAGAAAAAGAGAAAGGAGGGGGTGGGGGGTCCGAGACACACGCAACAGACAGCCTCGGAAAAAGAAAGGAGGCGGCGGGGTTTCTGTCATACATGAGTGAGCTGCATGAGTGGCATGGATTATTATTTTTTTAATAATCAAGCTTAAACATTGTTATGAACATTGCAAGAATGTAGGAAGGGTTTATAAAGCCTTAAAATGTATATTAATACTAAAATGAATGTAACATATTTCGTGGATTTTTACCCATCGAGGAGGTGTCTGGAATGTAACCCCCGCGATAAGTGAAGGACTACTGTACTACAAAGCAGGTTCAACTTATCTGGGTTTCTTTAAGAATTCTGGCTAAACTAATCCACACGAGACATTTTGGAGCTGCGTCTGAGGACTGATCGGTCATAAAACTGGAAGTAAAACAACGAACTCACAAATGAATAATCTCACAGCTACGACGAGTAGATCTAACCAGGTGTCACCTTTTATTTACAGATGTAAAGAGTTTATTCTAAAACACAACAAGGTCTGTTCTGTAGTCTCAGTCAGATTTAGAGTGCGGTTGTGGATGTTTGCCCTGGTTTGTCACAATGTATCTGCTGATCTGTTGTTGGGAATGTTCTTCCACTTTAAGACTGGGTCTGAGAACCCAAAGCTGTACAAGTAATTTACACCCAAAACATATCGTTACATCATATAATATTTCAACCTGCTCCTGTCGGTCTGCAGTGGGTGAGCCAATCAACACCGAAGCATGGGAGTGGTACTACAGGGTGGTCGGGGAAGGACGGTGTCCTGTGGTGGACACCTGGTGGCAAACTGGTAAGTGAATATATACTATATTTAGATTTTGTACCTTCAGCTCTGTTGGCTGGCTCTGCAGTTGATCCTAGCTTGTTTTTGCTCCTTTTCTGCTCTGGAACAACTTGTTGATACGTTGACAGTCCAGGTTCAAGTGAAATTTAAGTTCACAGACTACATACGTTGAAAAACAGTCACGCTTGCACTGAAGGAACCCATCTTGAAGGGAAGAGCTCTCAGCTCTGTTTCTCAAGCATGGATAGTGTTGCATAACATCTGTAACTGTGGTTGTGTGTGCACATATACACACACACACGGGTGTGTATTTACGTTATGAAGAGACGGAGCTTTCCCCTTTCTGTAGACTCGAGACTGAAACCAGATGTTTTATTGTTCACTTGGGCTGCACAATACTGTCGATTTATCATCATCACAATATCATTGACCACAGTATCAGTATCGCAAAAGACTGTTTAGACCGTACTAAGTCATAGGTCATTATCACACATACATGTTGTACACACCTTGATGCTCACACTTGGTTTAGATCATAGTGATGACAGAAGAGAAAGTGTGAAGTGAGGAAACGTGTGCGTTTATCGCAACTTATATTGTCGGTGCAATATTAAACCGTAATATCTAGTAACTAGAGTAAATTGGTCCAAAATGGATCCAGTTTCAAATCCAGTTATGGTCACTTGACTCCACTTATAATACATTTTCAGCCTGTGCATTTTGAAATGCCAGTTGTTAAATTTACTTATAAGAAAGCCAGAAGATTGTGACAAATCTTCAGTTCGTCACAATCCCTCACTCTGAGCAGGATGTTGGTGACAGTGGAAAGGAACGATTCCCTTTTTAACAGGAAGAAACATCCAGCAGAACCCGACACAAAATGGATGGCCATCTTGGCTGGCTGAAGGCAGGGAGGACAGGAACAAGACAGAGACAAACAACGGAACAGTCCAGGTGTAGTTCTGATGGGTAGAAAGCCAAAAACAAAAAAGAAAACACAGGTTGATGGCAGCAATAATTCAAAATTCAAACATGGAAAGTAGCGCGAGTAACGACAGCAGCAGAGAAATATGGTAAATTTTTCCTCTTGTGGTCTACAGCAGCTTTGCTAAAGGATAACTCAGGAAACCCAAGCCTACCCAACTATAGGATATATCATAATTAGGGATGCACAATATTGGATTTTTGGCCGATATCTGATATGTTAAAACTTATTTGTCCAATAACCGATACAGGTACAAATATTTTTAATATACTTTCCTTTGTCAGAACATTGCCTCTTATTTAGGCTTATTTGCTACAAAAACTGTGTAACAGCTGTAAGAGCTGGTGACATATAACAGCCATATGATATGCATAGCACTTTAACTTATATTAAATGAAGTGTTAAATGCTGTCTCACTTGTGGAGGCTTGTTCCAGGTTCCTAGCTGCAGTGTGGGATCCTCTGCACTCTTGTGCATGAAAGACAGCCTTTTTAAGATCAAAGGTTTTGTCTATCCATTGTGCCGTAAGACTAATCATGCTAACGGGGCTAACACGACGTCCAAATGTCTGTGGTAAAACTCATCCAAGTGCTATCGGCTGTTAGCTTCTCAATGACGTCGGAAATGACGGCTTGTAACTCTGGTAAGGTTACGTTGGAAAAATATCTCAGACTGAGGACGATGTAGTGAGGCTCAACATAATCCAAAAATCTTCGGAATCCAACATCCTCAACGAAAGTAAAACTTGCACACCGCCAACATTTTGACTTCATCTTCTCCGCCGTGATCAGATCAGGTAGGCGCGTGTGACGTCATCACGTTGTGCTGCTGCTGCAGACATCCTTGTCACTGGGTTGTCATACAAAAACAACGGCTTTTATATCGGTGAGTTATTTTGATGGAATGGCCGATGTCCAATATTGAACTTTAAAGCTAATATCGACCGATACCGATACCAAGCCGATAATATCGTGCATCCCTAATCATAATGGAAGGTGTCAAGCTTAGTCTTAAAAGTAGACAGGATGTCAGCCTTAAGGAAAGAAACTGGAAGTTGGCTCCATAAAAGAGGATCCTGATAAATGAAAACAATGCCTCCCATTTTAGAAGCTCTAGGAAGCACGAGTAAACCTACAGTCTGAGAGCAAAGTGCTCGGTTAAGAAAATATGGAACAATAAGATAAGATGGTGGTTGTTGAGAGTTTTGTTACAAGTAAGAACTAAATAAATTCAATAAGTCACACTGCCAGCTTTTATTTTTCTTCTGGAAAGAATCTTCATTTAGAAAAAAACTACTTTATTAGCTCAAACAAGCAGTTGATAAATTTTGATAGCAGAGGCAGATGTTGATAAATCGAGTCACTGTGGCCTACAGGGGTTCTGATTGAACTGATATACATGTATTTACATACTTTTCTGATAAAAGAACACATTAGAACCATCAATTAAAGTGACTCCATTGGGTGGCACACAAAATACAGCAAAAAATACTTTTTTTTCCCCCCAAATTAAAAACCTCTAAAGTTTTAACAAAACAACCTTTATGCCTCCACAGCTTTAGCTTAAGGGGACGTACTGACATGTTGTAAATGAGCTGATTTTGCTAATAATGACGATTTTGCGGATAAACATCAGACCCGGCTGACACGATGCGTTTCATTCTCTGTCCATCCTAATCAGAGTGAGTGAAAACCAAATGGGGCAAACTCACATTAATTACCATATGAACGGCAAAATCTATTCCTGATGATAATTAAACATCAGCGCATCAGGAGCTTAAGAGCTGGAGACACAAATATAATACCCAAATAGCCTACTTCACTAAAAAGGATTATGTTGTTATGGTATTTTTTCTGGACTAGTGTTTTCAATTAGGGCTAAGTGGCATGATTCGTAAAGGCCATTTAGCTGATCTGAATACAAGTAGCCTGTTCAGACAGGGGAAATAGATTGTCATGCATTGTTGGCAAACGATCCGTTTCCTGGATCATCCAGGACAAGGTGAGAAGATAAAGGACAAAGGTTGGCAAGAAAGTAATCTTCCATCTATGTAAATGTCATTTCCTGTCTTTAATATAAAACAGCTGGATGATACAGAGTGGAAAGATTAGCTTTTGTTGTTGTTGTCTGGGACCTCATTTTGACTACAACTCTCACAGTGAACATGAACAGGATGCTGGTTCTTAATGCTATTGTGGCATCATCTGTTGCGTCCTACTTTTCTAGCTGTTTCCAGCACTGGTGCCACCGACACCACGAGGTGGATTACAGGAGCCCCCGAGGGCTGGGCAGCTCTAATTGCATTTAATTTACTTAGTATGGCTGTAATTCCATAATCTGCATCTGGAGCCATGAGAAGGGCTTATGTCAGATTCACAAACCGTTACTCAGCTGAGCTCTGTCTTTTACTGTATGTTTCATTTTGCTCCTTTTTGCTTTGATTTTAAGTATATACATCTTTCTGCTCGTCAGCATAAGAATGATTATTTAAATTTTTTTAATCTTTTTTTTTTTCATTTTCACTTTGCTGAAATGTTAGGTAATAAGAGAACAAGCAATTTTATTATAAAGCATTGGTTGGGGTCAGGACGTCACTGTAAGCTGTAAAACAAGTGAGGTGTTCTGGGATGATTTGCAGAAATCGGATAACATGTAAAGATGCTTGCAAATAGTATTATTCTGTCCATTTTTATAAAATATATAAAAACCATTAGTCATAAACTGATAATACTATTAAGTATTTAGGCCATTGAGCAATCATTATATTCTTGTGTGTGTTTATTAGCATTGTTTGTACACTTTACCCAACAACAGTTTGAGTCGCATATTTTTACTTGTTTCATGAATCGGAATTTGAAGTTTGGTTAGTACTGAAGTCATAAGGACAGAAATAGGATGATAAATTTATTAAAGCACATTACCAGGTAAATAGAGAATACATAAGAATTTCCTTATAGAAAAATGTTTAAGTAAAATCGTATGATAAACAACAAGTTAATTAATGCCTGCTGTAATGAAAGTTGGGCACTTATGTAATTGCCTGTGTCTGTAAGCTCTTTTGTTAGCTAAATATCTCAAATACCAGTGGACCGATTTTAATGAAATAGTTAAAATTAACACTGTTAATACAGTCAGTTTTACACATATTGAGCTAAAATTAAGCGTATTAGCTAAGAGTCATCCCTAAGGACCCTAACACATATTGTACTCTTGAGAGTACTGCAGTTCAAAAAGTAGTTTTTAACGTAGCCATGTTGTGAGACTAAATTGTTTTAAATGCTTTTGTTTATGCTTTTGTTATTATTCCTATTTAACACAAGGTCATCAGATCTGATTTAGTATTCATTGTTTCTGACTGAGTTTATGCTTTTTGTTATTATTTCCTTGACGTTTGACACAACGTGATCTGATTTAGTATTTCATTGTTTCTAATTGTTTTTGGTTTTATATTTTTATTCCATGTGCTGTAAATATATCTTGCTACTTTTTATCTGATGATGTGATATTTTTGTTAAGCACTTTGGTATGTTTCTGTTTTAAACGTGCTCTATAAATAAATCTGACTTGACTTGACTAAATGATGTGATAGAAGAAAAAAACATTTAGTGTATATGAAAACAAATAGTGACCTAAACATTGAGCCTTGTGGAACACCAAAATTAAACTTGCAAATTAAACAAAACTGAAAATAGTTTCTAAAAAAAGTTTACTGTTGTTTAAGTATTCCATTTTTTTAACGACTGTCCAGTTTTTAACACCAAATGTCTGCATTTACATATCGCGGCTTGTTTTAAAATAATATTCTGGATCTCGTAATTTGGGACTGAGAGCCAGTCAGGATAAAGAAACTAATAGCAGCTACAACTAACACCTTATTAGCTCTTCTTTTAATAATTACCAAAATGGCAATGTCTGCATAAAACCTTTGCGTTATTAAACTGTGTTCGTTGTGTGTGTGCTCAGAAACAGGAGGCATCTGCATCGCCCCAAAGCCTTCAGAACCAGATGCAGAGATTGTCCCTGGAATGGCTATGAGACCTTTCTTTGGCATTAAGCCGGTGCTCATGGACACTGAGGTGAGGGCTTGGTTATGTATGTGTGTGAGAGAGAGAATGGCCTGAAATAGAAGAGATCAGATTGGGATTATAAAATAGTCAGCAGCTGTGTCACTTCTGATACCCACCAGACTCACCGACTGTGTGACAAACACTAAAAAAAATCCGTCACACTATTTTTGTTGTTGATGTACCGGTAGTTGCTTTTGCAATGCACAGGTTGTGCAGACATAGTAATATTTTTGAGCCGTTACAAACTTCCTCTTTGACAAGATTCACAGGGTTCAATGTTGTGTTCCAAATATTAACAGTATATACTGACTGGTTTTATCTTAACTAATAAAAACTCATTTTGAGTAACAATGTTGTATTTGTTGTTTCTCCAGGGCAACGTGCTGACTTCCAACAACATATCTGGAGCTCTGTGTATGGCTCAACCATGGCCCGGTATGGCCAGAACTATTCATAACAACCACCAGAGATTCATTGAGACCTACTGCCAACCTTATCCAGGTACAGTACGGCGTGTTTAAACATCTGCCGTTTGTTTCAGCACAATGAGGTAAACACTTGTATCCTTCTGTTTGTGTTTTTGTACTGTAGGCTACTTCTTTACTGGTGACGGTGCCCATCGATCCCAGGAGGGGTACTACCAGATCACAGGACGCCTCGATGACGTCATTAACGTGAGCGGCCACAGGATTGGGACGGCAGAGATAGAAGACGTAGTGGTAAATTCTGTTTAAGTGTCAAATAGTAATTGAGCACGCTTGCATGAATGTATCCATCACAAACTGGATTTTGGACTTCAGTTAAGTGATAAGATAAGATAAAATAGAACTTTATTGATCCTGCAGGAAATTGTTAAAGAAAAAAAAGTCATGACATGTTGCCATTTGGTTTCCTTTTTTTTAATCTGAGAAGCACCAATTTACAACATTAAATTCACACAATTCATTAGGTGTGACATATTTATAATATAATAAAAAATCTTTAAACAGAGTAAAAAAAATTCAATTTGTGCAATAAGTGTCTTTGAAATATAAAATGTGCATCAGATTTAGATTTTTGTGTTTGTGACAGAATCAGTGTCCTGCAGTGGCTGAATCTGCCGTCATAGGATATTCTCATAGCATCAAAGGACAAGGCGAGTCACACACTCTTTTCACATGTTTTTCCAGTGTCCAGACGTAAAACACAAGTCTCTCTTCATCCTCCAGGTGTGTATGCTTTTGTGGTGCTGAAAAAAGACGTAAACATTCAGGAGGCAGATTTGTCCAAGCAGCTGAGCAACTTGGTGTCTGGAAAAATTGCAAAGTACGCCTGTCCAGACTTCATTCAGGTAAAACTAGTTTAGATTTTAAATGGTGCAACTTAGATTTGAACGACTCCTCAGTGATTTGACTTTCCTCTCGCGTGTGTTGCAGTTTGTTACACGTCTGCCGAAGACTCGCTCTGGTAAGATCATGCGGAGGGTCCTGCGGAAAGTCGTGGAGTGCGACCTGGACGGTTTGGGTGACCTCAGCACTTTGGATGATCCTGCAGCAGTTCAGGAGATTATTCAAGGCCATAAAAAGCTCTCAAGTAAATGACGAGCATTGCACAAATTAAATGACAAAACAGAACATTTCAATCTAATGAAAAATATGAAGAGTACCACATTTATATTGCTGCATTTTAATTAAACCAACTTGTGCCTTTTGAGTGAAAAAAAAGACAAAATTTTAAAATGTTATTAAATTAATGAACACTAACATTTAGCTCTTAAAAACTGTGAAATGCACAGATGTACTTTGTTTTAAGTAGAAATTCCTCTCAGAACATTTTGTTTTTTTGATTAAAATTCACATCAAATCGTGTGAACAAAATGCAATGAACAAATGTTATTTTACAATAATGAACCTAAATGTATTTTTTTATATGACGAGAGAGCATTTTGTGGCTTTGAAACAGTTGAACTGTTTAGAACGTTGCATTCCCACTTTTTTAAATTTTGATTACGTTAGCTCAGAAAATAAAAACATACTGAAGGTGCCAACAGGACTGATGCTTGAGAGCACCTAATGACACAAACTAATGAATAAAAAAGTATTTTCGCTCTTGCCTCCCACGTTTTCTCATGTCAGAGTTCACGTTGCCTCTTCTCTGGCTCCTTTTAGTTTAGTCACCTCCCATCGGCCTCCTCCACACAGCTTCAGCTGGACATCGTGGTACTGAGAGAATCAGTATGACAGTTAATATATTCCTTTTTTTAAAGGTACAGACAGCAGATTTAAGAAAAACAAAGGAGTCAGCTCATCAATGATAAAGTTTAGTCAGGCTGGAAAAGATTATTGAATGTACAGTATTTTCCGCCGTATAAGTCTCACCTTTTAGCATAAATGTGCACGTCCTGCAACTTATACACCGAAGCAACTATTATACTTTTTTTTCATATTTATAACCCAGTTTTTGACTGAAATGTACATTCATAGACATGAACCTGTAAACATTATCATTTACAGCCGCTAGAGGGCCCTCTAGGCTTTTATATGTTGTTCCTCTACCCCGTTACACCCTCACCCCCCCCCCCCCCCACACACACACACACACACAAACGTTCACAAAGACAACTGAGAAAAACTTAACATAAGTAAAATACCCACAAACAGAAAATTCTATTTTGCAGATTACAAACTGCAGATAACAATATGCAGCTCAAAACGGTAATTGAGCAGCAGAAAGAAAGTTTGTTAACGGGTCTGGTCCGCACCGTCTGCCAACCAGGATTCAACCAGACGGAAGGGACGGAAGGGACGGCTGCACGGCGGCGGGGAACATCCCCCCCCCCACCCCCACCCCCCGTGTCTGGCTGGCTCCTGCTGGGCGCATTTCCTCCGCGGCAGTGTGCCACCCACCCATCCATCCATCAAAATAAAGGCTGAATGAATGAATAAAATTTACTAAAATAGCCGTGCTGCATTCAGGTACCTGTAGAGTTCACCAACAGACCAAACTAAATCAGTGATTACAACAACAGTTTTAAACACGGACCAAAACAAAAAGAGTGTTCCTGTGAAAAGTGGTAGTTTCCATCTCCTACCTACAGACGAGGAATTAAGAAGAACGCGACTGAAAAATGTGAAGTCCATCCATTGCGGCTTCGGCTGCAAGCCATAAAGCCTTCCTACGCCGCCCGAGCCGGGAGGAACGGGGGCAGCGGGGCGCGTGTTCCGTGGCCCCGGGAAGCAGCGAGGTGCGGGCGGACGAAAGCTCCAGAGCTCACGGCCGGAGCCTTCGTCCTGCTCCGGCGGTGGAGCGAGGAAGAACACCAGTTCCCAGGCGAATTGAAGCTGTTTTTACCAGTAAAGTGCATTTATTGAGGAAAAAGTTAGACTGAGACACACCTTTGCTATAATGTCGAACAAACTAATTGTTTTAAAGTCTTAATTTTGTTAAATTCTTGTTAAGAGTCCTCCCGTACACGCTACCGTGGCCGCCATTTGGCAGCCATTCGATTATTGGCACAACACCGGCGCACGTTTCCGGGTCGTCAGCGATGACGCATAAAAGATGCGACTTATGCAGCGAAGCGACTTATTTATGTTTTTTTCCACTTTAGACATTTTTGGGCTGATACGACTTATATGCAGGAGCGACTTGTACGGTGGAAAATGCGGTACTCCTGTATGATTCGTTTAGAAGTTTTAAAGCTTATGGTTAAAATGCATTTGTCAAACATAAAATAAACATAAAACAATGCTTTCTGAATTGTAGTTTCCATTTTCATTCCAAGTCAGTTCTTTACATTTAAACTGAAGCACACAGTCAAGCTAATACATATATTCATGTGCTGCATCAAATCTTAAAGGAATAAGTCAATGCCAGTTTCTAAAGTGTCTGCTCAGTATTTAGCCTACCTTTACCAGGCTGCTACGGTGGCCTAGACTGACCAAAGTCATGCCCAGCTGTTTGCACGTCCGGTACAGCTGTGCCTCCGCTTCCTCCGTCAAAGCACTCGTGGCCTCATCTAAAACTGATGAAAAAAACCCAGGGTGGTTCAGTGTATACAGCAAACTGTATTCTGATCAGTTTTAATCAAGCTTCTGATTCCTAAGATGCTCTGGCGAGAACGTCAGAGAAACACACTGGCGTATTTTGGCTGCAGGTAGAAGAGCCGTGCAAAGGAAAGGCGCTGCATTTCACCAGGAGACAGAACGTCCGACCTGAAGAGAGAAGGCCTTAGTTGGGATGATTTGTTTTACAGAACTGTTTTTGGTTGTTTTTTTCTCTGTTCATACCAGTTCCAGTCAACCTTCTCATCCAGCCCACCAGTCCTTTTCAGAAGGCTGGACTGTGAAAAGATAAAGATATTCAAAAGGAGCAAATAAATAAAACCTTGAGATAAGACAAAACAATCAAATAAAATGGACTTTTTATATTTATAATATATTTTTGAATAAACAACTCACCACTCCAGCAAGTTCTAAGAACTGTATAATTCTGTCATCATCCACTGACCCTGAAAAAAAAAGAGTTTTGAATATCATCATTTTAAATTAGCCAACACTTAACAGATACTTGATGCTGCACAAATGGGGAGTCCCCAAGATATCAGACAAAACAAGACCAAACATTTTCAGAGTAAAAATATCCCCGGAAGAGTTCACGATGATGCTTAGATTTAAAACATAAATAAACCAATAAAATACTATAATAACAGCTTTTAGTTTTTGTGTTATTAGCAGGAAAAAACTCAATTTCTTGTTGCACAGTTTAATGTAAACAACTTGGTCATGACGTACCTGATGCAGGGTAAATATCCTTCAGTGGGTAAATCACCTGTTGGAATGAAAAGTTTCAGTGAAGGATGATGGAAATTATTAATTAATTGATGACTGAAGCATAACACCTGGATTTGTAATTATAGACACACCTACATTACAGGGTGATTAAAGATTTGTTACCTGTTCGCGCAGAGTGCCGTCAGTCATGTAGGGTTTTTGTGGAAGGAAGAGTGTTCCTCTGGGTCCGAAACATGTAGTCATTTGAACAAAACCTGCACCAAAACAAACAATTATTGAGCCACGTACAAGTACAAATTCTATAAATCAGACATTTCAGAACCTTTGCAGCATTCCTGAGACAAAGCTTTCCATTGCAGATTTATGTCGAGCAGTTAAACTCTTGTGTCAGGAGCCCCAACGGGTCATGAAGGAAAGCTACAAAACTGATTCAGTCCTCGTGTCTCACCGCTGTGTGCTTCCCAGAGGCGGTTGAGGACTCGCAGTAGTGATGTTTTTCCGGTGCCCGTGTTTCCCACCACCAACAGATGAGTCCCCTGACTGATTTTCAGACTCAGATTCTCCACCAGCAGCTGCTCCGAGAACGGAGATTTGTAGGAGAGGTGGTCCAAGACGAAGGCCGTGTCCACGGGGTCTGCGTGGACGTTGAAGTCGCTGTTTGAAAAATTAATAAGAAGTAATTTTATGATTCTGCTGACAAGACTTTGAAAAACAAATTTTTTAATGTCTTATTTCTGTTTTTAATACGCCGTCTGATTCCTAAAACAACTGTTCGGGTTATTTTAAAGCAGCTCACACAGACCTGTCAAAGTCGTAGCTCTCCCCTGATGCAGGATCGTAGTCGCACTGCTTTCGTAGGATGTCATCCATCACCTCCATCAGCTCCCCGATCCTGACAGCACACACAGATTCAGTGATCCCGAGCACAACGACACACACGAATCCTGAAATGACGATTTATCCTGTGGTTTAAGTATGCAGCGGGATACCTGTGGGTGTAACCAGCCACATCTGACAGAGTCGTCGACAGGTCTATTAGCTGCGTGAAGCCATTTATCAAGTAGATGCACACAAAGGCGTTCTGAATACAAACAAGGAGAGGAAGAATACGAGCAGAGAATAAGACGAGTTTATAGTAAACATACAGATGTGCTGGGACAGTTTTTATACTTTTTCTATACTTCTGACGAGAAAAAGGTCCAAGAACTATGAAAAAGAGTTTTAGTGCCACCTAGTGGCGAAAATCAAAACAACAGCTCAGATTTCTGCACTTGCACTAATGGATCATTTCCTCAAATGTCAGTAAGGAACAATTAACACCACACGGTACAAATATTTAGATATGACATGTAAGTTTTTTTTATTTTTCTGTTTCACTGTTAGAAAAACATAATTCTTTGCCTGGCAAGTGATTAAAAAAACACTTCTAATCACTGTAAAAATTTAATTTTTACTCGTTCAGCAGCATCTCTATAAAAATGTCTTACTCTTATTTATAAAGAGGTAATTTAAATAGTAAACAGGCGTACCTTACTAATGAGTGCACTAAGTTCACCGGGACTGAGCCCATTATAAACACCAGTGAAGATGGGAATGGCAATTATAATGTAGCTGAGGAAACCTCCGAGATAATCGAAGGTGTTTACTCCAACTGAGAAAAGACAAGTGACAGATTAAATCAGTCAATCTAACAGAACAACTGGTCAGGTGCTGACAGATGAAAGTGAGTGTGTGTGTTGTGGTATTTTTTTACTGTAAAGCCAGAGTTCTTTGTTTATGAGACTCTTCTGAGTCTGCAGCAGGTTCTGCAGCCTTCGGCCCGTTCTCATGTGCTCGACTCTTCCTGCTCTGAAGACATACAAGAAAGGGCCTGATGTTGGAGTGATTTCCTGTCAATCAAACTGTAGTACATCATGTGTGGAGCACTTGCATAATGTCTAGTGACCTTTTACACATTTATAAAAGTTTGCTGTGCACAATACTGTCAAATAAATGATTTGAGAGTTTTAGACTCATTGTCTGGTTTTTCTGTCTTACCTGTAAAAAGCTGCAGACTCTGCATTGACGCGGATTTGCATGTGCTTAAATCTGCAAAAACATATATATATATTACTAAAACGGCACTGTCACAACAAATGCAAAGTGATTTAAGCTTTAAACAAACTTGTTCCAAACTGTTTCCTCAACCTAAATCCCAACTATTTCTACATGAGACTTCAGGAACCAAAACTGACCCTAAGGATGATACATATCCTGTTTTTAGAAGCCCAAAGGCTCTGAGCCAACATCCACAGATCCTTCCCTTTTAACAAAAGACCAGTTTTCTTAACAGCAAACACTGAGAGGATCTGCATTAAATAAAGCTCGCAAAGGCCTAACGACTCTGCTGTTACCACAAGCTCTTATTTTCAGATACTTGTGCGTATTTGTCACATGACACACTGCGTGCACAGTACTGTGTATTGAGGATACCTGAAGTCTCCCTCCAGTTTTTCTTGTTCAAACAGGGTCGACACAATCGGACCCATGAGGATTTTATTGGCGATCGTTCCAACGACAAAGTATCCAAAGATACTCACAGGACCGATCCAGCCGGTGCTGCAAAGCAAAGAAACTTCATTAATTTATGTTTTACCTTCTTAGAAAATGACTAGTTAAAACATTACATTTAAACTATTATAAAATAAACAATAAAAATACACAAATAATAACCAAACAATTTTATCTCAACATAAGCAGAGGTGATTTTTTTTTGTTTCAGGCGAAGCACATTGTTGGGCTGGAACAAACACATGAGAACTTCACCCTTTTCCTGCTTTCCTGTTTGTTATATAAGACTGAACTACTTTCATATTAATAAACTATAGATAAAGAGCAAATTACCAGGGTGAGCAAGAGGATAAATAATAATAAAAAAACTAAACAGACGAGAAAATTATTTAAAAAAAAAAAAAACATTGATCCTGACTTTTGACACACATGCTGTAAAGGTCCCAGTTAGAGAATTTTTGCTCAAAGGTTATGGATATTCTTAACTACTATGGCTGAGAATTTTAACTCTGCCCATGAATTATATGTTTTGTTCAGCAGAGAGAGCTGGATGAGGCTGCAGGCATGCAGCTGTCGCTTCAAGGACACCTCCGAGTCTGTGAGCTCGACTGAACTGATGAGATTATAAAAACAAGCTGCACGCACAACTCACGGCAGATTCTCGTGACTGATCTTCATGTGTGTACTTCCTGTATATCTGTGTAACCAGTCCTGAAAATCTGACCTTGCATGTAAAATACCTGTTAAAAAGCTCCTGCTGTCGAGTGTGGTTCCTTTTGAGTGAGTAAAATGAAGCAAGAATATTTTTCTCCAACAGCACCACAGTGTCATTTTATTTAAAAACATAATGACCAAATGTAAAATTCTTGGTTTCATTAGTTTAAAGCCCCACGGCGCTCTAACAGAGCTCCATGTAGTGTAATGTTCTGACACCACTTCAGCTCCAGTCGTATAACAGTGTTGTGTTGCACTGACCTGTGAAAACACTGGTAGGTGTAGTAGGAAATCGTAAATGGTGAGATGATCAAGCGGCTAGCCATGGTGCTCATCTGCTTACACAACCTCTCCACATCCTGACTGATCCGCTGGTCGCTAGGAGACAAAAACAGTGCGCCGTTAAAAGTGTGCTCAGAGTGCGTGATAGCTACTACCACACCAAATCTTAGCTTAATGACTGTAAAACCGAGTTATGGACATTTTTTTGTGTGTTTGTTAAGGTTGGTTAGCTGTGGTGGCCATCTTGGACTGGGTTGGCTCCAGAGGTTAATCTGCTATGGACGTACATCCAGTGATTGAATTCATTGAATTTCAAAAGGTTTCATTGAAATTCCTCAAGTGGTTCATGAGATATTTTGCTAACACACACATAATTATATATTAGTTTTCTACACCGCCTTACAATCTGTTTTTACTTTCCCTTTTAATTAACAATTTATTTTCACTTGTTAAAAAAAAATGTGCACATCCTTTATGATTGTCTATTGTTGTCCACTGTTGTCATCATTCTTTGTTAAAGAAATCAGGTCTCTCTTGTAAATGAGTCCCCGAGGCTCAATGGGATTAACCTGCATAAATAAAGGTTGAAAAAAAAAAAGTATCCGTTTCATGACAGTGGGTTAAACACACAATAGCTGTCAAAAAACAGTTGCATGTACTGGTACACATTTTGAGCAATAAGTGGAACGTTTATGTGTAAAATATACATAAGCATGAATTAATTAAATGTATTATTGCCCAGATAAAGTGATACTGCTAGTTAACAAAATATCTCAACAACCACGCGAGGAATTTTAACGCAACTTGCAGAAAATAACTGTTGGATCAACCCACTTGAAGATGGCTACCACAGCTAACAAGCCTTCTGCAACCCAACACAGCTGCGAGTCACTCGCAATGGATGAGCTCATTTCTCAACACCTACAACTCTGGAATGAAAGGTAGTGAGGTAATATGCATTCCTTCAAGTGATGCAAAGGCTTTAAATGTTATTGTTTGTGAAACCAGCTAATGCTTACGGGTTATCTATGTCCTCTCTGAGCACGTTGAGGATGTAATAGACTCTGCCCTGGAAGTAGGCCGAGTGGAGGCTCTCAGTCAGCGTCCTCCTCCAGCTGACGTACATCTGGTTACAAATGTACTGGTCGAGACTTTTCAGCTGTGACAACAACAAAAGAGACAGCAACACAAAGAGGGAGGAAGAAACCATGTTGATATGTCTGTAAACAGAGTTAAATAACATTTAAAGAGTGTAGTTGTGATCCAAATGACTGCAAAATTTCAAGAAGGTTGAGCTGCACCCAACAAGTACAAGCGAATTAGATGATGTTGAAATGATCAGCTAACAAATGAACATTTAATTTGTGGTAAAACATCTGGTTCCTTGGGGGAGCGTGATCTCAACCAAGATAAAGTACAGAAAAGTACAAAATAAACATGTCAAACTGACCTTGTAAAGTTGACACAATTAAACCATTTTAAAAGGCAAATCCATCATTTAAGTACTGTATTTGTTACCTAAAACTGATTGTTATGAAGCTTAGCTAGACAGCTGTTTTAAGTGTAGACTCTAAAATGATCAAAGCTGTCAACAAATGAACAAACAGCTGACTTTGGCCAAATTCCAAGGTGAAACAATGGAAACCGTCAATAGTATTTTAACCTTATTTGGACCCCAGAATGAGAGATAAAATGTCCCCGTGACAGTAAATGTAAAAATCTACTTCCATCACCCTCTGCCGTTACGTCCACTTACTGTGGAGTTGAGCAAAATGAGCACCACAGCTGTTCCCACCAGACTCCTGAAGCCGGAGTAATCTTTGTCTGCGAGCACATTGTAGAAGTGACTGGGGAGGATGCCCACCTGGTAAATGATCAGCTGCTCTGATGGCAGAAAAAGACGTGTTAGCAGCACGCTGACTTTTTCAAAGACGGTTCAAACGGTGACTCGTAAAACAATACAGAGAAATGAGGTTTGAGTTAAAGGTCAGAGAGCTTTACAGCAGGGCTTTTCAAAGTGTGCGCGTGTGTGTGGGGTGTGTCGACGACGACTTGCATACAGACAAAGTAAGAGGAAGGAGTTGACTTGATTATGACCATTCATTTCCCCTTTTCTTGGGTAACTGTAACAAATCCCTTATTACAACACACATGTAGTGATTGCAGCTCTTTACCTGCCAGAGTCACACCGAGCAGCGTCCCGAACATCAGAGCACTTTGACTGGTCCATGATGGGAACAGGACCTTCTGGATGCTGCAGAACCTCTGAACAAACCTCCAGTCTAGTTTTGGCCTGAATTGAAATAAATAAATATAAAGCCTTATGAAAGTGTGGAGACATTCGTTTTCATGGATGATGCAAGTATTTTTGCAATCCTGCTGAACAACTCGTTATACTACAATAGAACCAGGAAGTACAAGAATAAATAAGCATAACCAGAAAATGATAGTTTTGATTTTACCTTTTTGTCCCTCTTCCCTTCGTCTTCTCCTGACGAGGCATCAGCACGAGCAGCAGCTAACTATTTTAAACCTCTAAGTTAAAACGTCACGTGTTGTCTGTATTTTGTTAAAGCGAATAATAGCTAGCAGGTTATAAAAATAAAAAAAAATTTGAACCAGCGCGTCAGTTTACTGCGAAACCAGATTTATTGAGCAATGACATCACTAAACAACGACTTTTAAACCATTTTTAAAATCAAATTTATATGAACATGTTTTGTTTATTGTTACTGCGAAGCTACGTAATTAGTTTAAATCGGTAACCGACTTCTTTTGATGATTTCAGCGCTGCTCTTCTGTCGTTTGACCCTCAACTTCAGCTAACCGAATGTTTTGGTCAGGTGCTGTCAAACGACGAACTTCCGGTTTATCTGGCTTCCGTTTTTGTTTTTTCAAAATAAAAGCTTTGACATAAACCCAAACCAATTTAGTTTTTTAATTTTATACATTTACTCCAAAAATATGTACTCAAAAGGGATTCAGTTTCTAAAAGGGAAAAAGGAAAGATTTTCACTTGTTACTAACGTTTGATGGACGGTTTTTATAAAAAAATGTTCACTAAAACAAATATTCACAGTAAATTATTTTATCCAATTAAATACAGCCTTATTGGTCTTATAGGATTTATAAATGTTAAGTCAGGTAAGTTTTTTTTAGGGGAGGTTTCATGCAAAATAACATTGACAACCGGTTTTGGCAAAAATAAATTGTGCAATTAGCTTTTTTTTTAAAGATTGTTGTTGCACCAAAAATAATAAATTATGGTACTGAAACTGTGCAATACTGTTAAAACAAAGATTTTTACTAGTTTCTTTAGAATTAGGGAGTTTAAAATGCATTTATTTTCAGTCATGGTTGAAAAATTCCTACTATGAGTACAAACATGTCTTTTTTTTTTTTTTAGCTTTAAAAACATTTAACAGTCAGAGGAAATTCCTGAAATTTTCCCTCACAGTCTTGAGTCTTTTGCTTTATTTGGCTTAGAATTAACAAAAAGAATATGTGCAAAACTGAGTTTACTCCATTAGAAAAAAATCATATGTCATGGTGCAAAATAAATAAATACATAAAAACTTTTTAAAATTTATTTTATTTTTTGTTTTGGATATTTTCAGTAGACACAGTCTTAATAATCTTGTGTAAAGAACAAATAAGGGACAACTTAAAACGATAGCAGATCTATATGATTTTATGATAAACTGAAAATGAATATTCTGGTTTTAATAATAGAATTAACCATTATTATAACATTACAAACAAATGACACACAACAATAGCAGACAGTCAAGAGAAAACGTTCTTGTATACTGTTCTACATAGAAGTGAGCTGACATGTCTTTGGAATTCAAAATAAATAGAATCATTGTAGATTTTGCTTTTCTAGGACTATAATTCATTTAAAAACAATCACAAGTACTGAAATGAGAAGCTCTGGTGCTGAAAAAGAGGTTGTGATTAAATGTAATGCAGAAACGCAACAATAACACAACCTTTTTTTTTAATCACTGAATTCTTCAATAATTACCATGATGCTCGAGTGCTTAAATACTTAATGTATATTTTTTTCTCAAAGGCTGTTTTAATTTAAACAGAAATTCTTTACTCGCTCAGCTTTGAAGAGCATAAAACTCCAATAAAATACTCCTTTATACTGTGACAAATGAACAAAATGTACAATAGTCACTGTTACAGTACATCTGATACACACTGTAATTCCAAAGGTCCAGTTCACACTTAAATATGCTGACAGGTACATTTTTAAAGGATAAAACGGGTGATTTTGTATTTTATACAAACATCAAATCAAACCTAAAATGCAAATTAACACAATACTTTGAAACTCCTGTAATACGAGGTTGCTGGCTCTTGGTTCAAATCTTCTGGACTCTGTGTAAACATTTCCAATCTAGCAGCAAATTAATCTTAAAGAAACATTATTTTAATAGCTGGAGTAGGATTTTTATAAAACAATCTCTGATAAAAAAAAAAAAAAAACATTAAGAAATTTCATCCTGATAAATTATAGTAATTGTTCCCTTAGCAATAAAAACAACTGGCACAGAGTGTACTATGAAACAAAACCACCAACTGTGTTAAAACTGTCAAATTTACCTACGCATTTCCTCGTTGGGATCTTTTTAGCTCTGAATATATGGATTCAAGTCATCATCCTGTTTGACAAAAACATTTTTTCTTTAACTTCCATGATTCTCAGCATGAGAAATATGATAAATACTATCAAATAAGATACTGAAAATTTAACAATCAACAAAAACCATGATTCCCTCCTTTGTGTCAATGAAAAAACATGTAGCTAGGTTACAGTATAAAAAAAATACAGCCAAGACGACCATGTGAACTCTAAAAACATTGATAATGTGGAATCCATCCATCCATTATCTTTACCCGCTTCTTCCTTTTTGGGTCGTTGGGAGTCACTGTGTGAGAGGTGGGGGACACCCTGGACAGGTCTCCAGTCCACAGAGACAAACAACCATTCACTCTCTCACTCACACAATGTGCAACGAGTTACGTTTTCATTATTTTGTCAGAATTTGTTGTCGTGTCTGTTAAACTGTTCATATTAGATTATAATTACTCATATACAGATCTAAAAATATTTAATAAAAACTACATTTAATGGATTTGAACTGTTTTTGACATTATTATGGGACAGTATCATTCAGTAAACCTTTCAGGTTCACAGAGAAAGTGTTTTAAGACTGTTCTGTCATCACCAAACAGCAAGGAGGGTTTACTGTAGTTATCTGAACAAACACAGTAGTTTCTGAGGAGTACAATTATTGTCCTATTTGTAGTAAATTTGTTTTTCTTATGTTTATTACTGGATATTTTTAATGCAATTAAAGCTCCCCGTCTTTTGTGACTGTGCAAATAGTTTCATTTCCTATAAGTATTTGGGCAGTCATGTTGTTTTGAGCTGAAGCAGAATCAAATAACACAATGTTCCTTTTCTTGTGAACAGATCCTGAATAAGTCAAAGTCACAATCAGAATCACTCTCATAGTATATATATATATATATATATAACTACTTTTAAGATTTACCAAGTCAGATAACAGAAAGAATGTCCAGCTATGTTGAAATTGTTTCATAGTACAGCCCTTTAGGTGAGTTCATTTTTTTGTTTCGTCTTAATATTTTAGAATTTGGGAACTTAAAATATCTATTTACCTTTTAATGCAGTTCCTGTGATGCAGAAAAACAGCTTTTGTTTTGTGTTAAAATAAGCAGCAAGTTTCTAAATGTCAGCCGTCACCATGTCAGAGGAACACAACGGTCATCTCAGAACACTCAGGCGAGGTTTAGGGTCCCAAAGAGGACAGGCACAAAGCAGACGCAAACAAAACCCACAACACCGTAGACAATGTAACGGTACGGCAGCTCCACTTTCATGTGCTGCCTCGCCTGTCGTACGTCATCCGAGGGCAGCCCGAACAGTCGGCACAAGAATGGAACGGTCACTGCTTTCATGACCATCCTCGTGACGAGGAGGACGGCGACGCCGACGAAGAAGCGCAGCAGCAAGCGCAGTACTAAGCCTGTGGTGAGCGGAGGTAAAGCTAGAGGAAGCGAGGAGAGTGGCGGATCTTGCAGCAGCCCCAGCTGATAGTTCACATGGGTGGCCAAAGCAGCGCCTGCACCGGTGCCAAGAGCCTGAGCTGTGTCGCCCCGAGAGGTGCTCCACGAATCCAGGGAGAACGCCACAAGTCCCAGACTCACGTGAGACACAATGATCATGAGCGGCACGTAGTGGTCCATCATGTAGTAGGTGTCAATCTTCTCCAACAGTGGCTGGAAGAAGGCAAGAACAAGAAGGCTGTACAGGAAGCCAGTGATCACCTCCTGCAAGACAAAAAGCACCAACAGTTTTATCAATACAGACTGAACATGTTTGCTGCCCTGAAGGGGGCGCTCCTGCACACTGTTCAGGTCCATGATTCCCTGTAAATATCAGGCGAGTTGCTGACTGTTGAACTTGTTCTACTATTGGATGATGGAGATCATAAACACCATCTGTTCCAATCAGCTGCCAGGTCACACAATCTAATCAGACCTTATCTAGTGGCTTTAATTTGTTTATGGCCTCTGCTTGCATCCAATTGACCAAGAAAGCTCTGGTGATGTTAACGACCTATTTATCTATTAACACAAATATAGTTTTAACTACCAAGTAAAATAATTATTTAATTAATATAATTAAAAAACAAGTGATAATGAAGTTTGTCCACATGCCTCTCAGGTGCAGTGCTGAGGAAGAGTTTAAAAAAATAAAATAAAATTATTAAGGAACAATTTCTTTTTGAAATCCTTTACAGTTATTGTAAATTTTAACTTTTCTTAAGACACTTAAATTTACTGGCTAAGTGTTTAGTTGTTGTTTTTTCTACTTCAAAAGAACAGTTTCTAAGACACCACTATTTTATTTAACATAAAACTAGAAGTTACTTACACTCAACAGTTCACTAACCAAGTGAAGGTATATCTATTTTTTTGTTGACGTAAAACAACAAAACCTTAAAGGAATGTGGTTTATTTCCACACAGAACGTTTTGTTCATCACATCGTTCAACAACCAGTCTGACGACTCGAGTCTAGTTGTCCGTGTAAACTCAGTGAACCCAAGATTTGAGCTAAAAAAAAAAAACGTCGGTTGAGTTTATGAACTTTTTTGTATTTGTAAACAAAGCATTTCAAAACATTTTCACCAACTCAATCATCCAGAAGAGATTATGACTATAATAATAATAGTAATAATAATAATAATAAGAAGAAGAAGACACAGAAACCAAACTTTGTTGCAAAGAAAAACAAGGTACAACACAACAAATGCCGATTACAGTTTTTGTTTAAATATAAACATTTTAATGGCTTTCAGTTAGTTAAAGCAGCTTTTTACTGTGCTACAAATTATTCTAAATGTACAGTAGTCCCTTGTTTATCGCAGGTGATCTGTACCCTGAAGCCCCGCGATAAGTGAATAACCGAGAAGTAGAGATACGGTAGTCTGAGTTCAAGTTCAGTTCAAGTTCAGTAAACTTTGTCATGACATGTGCCAGGCTGTAATCACACTCATCACCTGTTACTTCCAATCTTCCTCCTTAAATAAACTATTTAAATACTGTAATATTTTAAATAAACAATCCATACAGCATGGATTGTTTATTTAAAATATTACAGTATTTAAATTGTAGAGAAGAGAAGAGCAGAAGGACATCAAAGGATGTCACACAGCTTCAGCTCTGCAGCACGGAGCAGAAATGTACTTTCTGATCAATTACACTGAAACAACTGAACAGAGAAGTTCTAAAATAATTTAAAATAACTTTTAACACTTTTATATTTTGTGAATATGGTGATTTTTACGATGTGACATACTTTGAATTTTAAGTTGGGACAAAGTCGATCGGTGCATCTGGACAGCAAAGGGTTGATCCTTCACAAAGCTGCAGCAGGAGAAATGTGTGCGTGGCAGAGAAGGAGATCAGCTGATCAGCTGCAGGAGGGAGCAGCATCTTGCACTTGTGAGCTGCACACATGGTGCAAAATCATTTAAAATTATTTATTTTAAATAAACAACCCATGGCTCATCCATCAATCAGCCAATTGTGTCATGTCCAATCTTATTTTGAAAATCTGCGATATAGCGAACCCACGATAAATGAACCACGAAGAAGCGAGCGACTACTGTATATTTACAGACCCTTTCCAAAAAAATAAGAATATCATGGAAAAGTTGTTTAACTTCCATAATTCCATTCAAAAAGTTGATCTTTAATAGACAATAAGTTCAGGACCACAATTTAATCGATTTCAAATATTTATTTGTTTTTATTTTTACATAATTTGGGCTTCCAGCTCATGAAACCCATGAAAACAGGATTTAAAAAAAATTAGAATAATGTGGAGAAATCAGGCCACACAACTCAGTTTTTGCAGAAAAAAGAAAGAAATTAGGATCACAACAAATCAATCAAAATATGGTACTTTCAAAACAATATGTCAATCTTCAATACTTGGTTGGCAATTTAATGACACCTGGGGAAACCTGTGCAGGTGCTTTGAGTTTAGTAGATGATTAGTGTCACACTCAGTTTAAAACATTCATGTCCTGCAAAATGTGGCCTGATGTCTCCACAGTATTCTAATTTTTTGAAATCCAGTTTTCGTGGGTTTCATGAGCTGGAAGCCCAAATTATGTAAAAAATAAACAAATAAATACTTGAAATCATTTAAACTGTGGGCCCTTAATCTATCTTCTATTAAAAATTAACTTTTTGAATGGAATTATGGAAGTTAAACAACTTCTCCATGATATTCTAATTTTTTGGAAAGGGTATATCTATCTGTCTATCTGTCTATCTGTCTATCTGTCTATCTGTCTATCTGTCTATCTGTCGATCGATCGATCGATAGATCGATAGATCGACAGATCGATAGATCGACAGATCGACAGATAGACAGATAGATAGATAGATAGATAGATAGATAGATAGATAGATAGATAGA